GAGGAGGAAACGAGACAAAATTTGGTGTACCAAAAATTACTTGTTTCACTTGAACCCTGAGACGGTAGAAATTAAAGGTTTTAAAGCTTTTTTTTCCTGCATAAATTCTTTAATTTTATCTGCATTTCTTCTCTTCTCTTCTTCTTCTTTCAATGCTTTTGTTTTTGGTCTTAAAATAAGTTGTAATTCTAAAAACATCTTTTTTACATAAGTTTTTTTTCAAAATTTTCTTCTGCAAACTTAAATTTTTATCTAGATTACGCAATGGCTAATTGTAATCGATAAGCAACAGAATGGAATATAGAAATTGTAAATTTAATTTTGAAAAAAATTTTTTTTTCAAAATTTAATAGAATCTTGTTTAATTTTGGTTTATTGTTAGATATAAAACTTAACTGGCCACTGTTATTGTTGCTGCTGCTTAAGCTTATGCAGCAAAAACCATAGCTATAATAGCAACAGCTTAGGCTAAATGTTACGGTTACAGCAACAACAGGCTTTTACAACTGATAACTTTGAGAAGTTGCTATGAAAATTGGCATTTCTTGACCTTCTTGACTGAAGTGCCAAAACAATCAGAAATATTTGTACAGCAAAAAAAAGCAGTATTTTTATTTTGAAATTTTTCAATGCTATCTGTCATTCATTAAGAAAAACAGTAAGTAAATTTCTGAGCATCTAATAAACTGTTCAAAAACAATCGCATTTTTTTTTTTCTTGCTTCAGTTTTATATATTAAAATTTTTCTCTTGCTTTCTTTCCTAACTAAAGATGAAAACTTCTTTTTTTATTTATGCTTACGATGTCAAATGGTTGCAACAAACACAGTGAGAACAGGTTTTCAGAATCTGAAATAAAAGTGCTTCTACTCTATAAGACAAATTTGCCGCGTATAATTTCGTGCCTATATTTCTATGTGTACTAGTTTCAATACAAGAACAGCTCAAAATTACTTAGCGCATATTCTCAAGTTGTAATTTCCTCCTAACGTTTTAGTTCCAATAATGGAAAATATAAGTAGCTAAGACCAAAGACTAAGCAACAAAATACAAAAGACGAAAATCCTTATTGATGTGGTCAATTTGCAGTGACTTCAGCTACTGCGCAACAAAAAAAGCCTTTTATCTGCCCCGTTCATCACTGATATTTTCGTCTGTTCCCAGCAGTTATTTTACATCACTGTTTCTATTTCTAGAATTGTCGCAAAAAAAAAAACAGCTTTTTTTGCTGTTACTTCTGCTGCTGGAATAGTATTTTCAAACGAGAACAAAAAAAAAAAAATTAAGCATAAAGTTGATTCAATACAACAGATCTGTTGTATAAACAAAACAACAGTTCTGCCAAGGTTAAGTTATAGATTAAGTTTTTAAAATGATAAATTTTTGGTTATTACAATTATCAGTCGTCGACTACGATAGACAGGTGGTTAAAGAGCTGAAAAAAAAAACGGTAACAATAAGACTAAGTATTAGCAATGACAACAATAAAATTGCTATTTTGTAAAGCAAGAAATTCAAAAAAAAAAATGAAAAAGACGAGTAAAATTGAGAATCAGTCTACCAACAGTACAACCAATAACTTTTTCAATTTTCTGAAGTTTTTGTCAAAAAAAACTACTTTTGTTTTTTTTTAATCAGTTTTACCACCTAATGATGTGTCATCAAAGTCATCCAGTGGCAACCTGGATAAACGGTTCACTGAAGAGTGCTAATATTGAGACGATGAGAAGATGGAACAGTTCAAAAATAAAAAAACGAACAAAAAAAAAACGACATTCTAACTGCAGTTTTTTTCTTTCTTCACCTCTTTGGTCTTTAGTATTCCAGTATTTCAGTGTTACATGCAGGTTATGTTGTTTATTAATGG